ACTTAAAAAGATGCTTATCTGGACTTTTTTTTTTATGACATGTTATCTTCATCTTCTTCATGCAAAACCCCTCCAATGGATTCCAGTTGCCTGCAAACTGGTCTCTCGCCTGCAAACTAGTCTCTCATCTGCAAAATCGATCTTAACCCATTTCTTCTTATTCTCTGAATGCTCTCTCATCTCCACTCCATCTGCAAAATCGATCTTAACCCATTTCTTCTTATTCTCTGAATGTTCTCTCATCTCCACTCCATCTGCAAAATCGATCTTAACCCATTTCTTATTCTTCCATGAATGCTTTCTCATCTCCACTCCATCTACAAAACCGATCTTAACCCACCCATTTCTTCTTCTTCTCTTTTCTCGAGGAAACTTGAGCTACTGGGTTTCATTGAAACCTCAAACCTGGTAGATCTTACCAAATCAAAATAACCCTTCAATAAACAATACCAATCAAACTCTAATCAAATTTTAACAAAAATACAATCAAACTTTAATCAAATTCCAACAAAAATGCAATCAAATTATAAATCAATCTCCAAATATATTAACAACTGGAAATAGAAATCGAAAGAAGAACGAGAAAACAAGAACCAAGCTTTCCCAGCAAAGCTGGGTTCGGTTGAAGGCTGGGTTTCAACCGAACCCAGCCTTGGCTGGTTGCAAACCCAGCAAGGCTGGGTTTCAACTAAACCCAGCAAAGCTGGGTTCGTCGAAACCCAAATTTGCTGGGTTCCGATGAACCCAGCCTTGGCTAGTCGATGAACCCAGCAAGGCTGGGTTTCTAACGAACCCAACCTTGCTGGGTTCGTCGAAACCCAGATCTGCTGGGTTCCAATGAACCCAGCCTTGGTTGGTCGACGAACCCAGCAAGGCTGGGTTTCCACTAAACCCGAAAGAAAGAAAGAGAAAAAAAAAAAAGGGGGAAGAAGAGGGATTGGGAGGGTGAGGGTGAGGATGAGGGTAATAAGGTAATTTTATATGTTTTTAATTAAAATATGTTTATTAATCTATATGGCATTTTTATTTATTTATATAACATAATTATAATATATATTAGTGCCACATCATCAAAAAAATTAA